GGGGGGGGGGGTGGCGTAGATCGCGATGAGCGCGCGATGCATTATGCCCGATACGCGGCCCAAGCCATAATTGAATGTCGAATTACACGCTGCCGATAGATACTGCTAATAACATTTGCATTTCGCTGTAACTTCATCCATCACGCAGCGAAGGTCCTTCCAGAGCGAAACGCGCGCTATATCGTAATCAAACTCCGAAGCCTCCTTTTTCCCGTCCACCCCCGAGGCTCCCCGCCGCCGAAGGAGCGCCGATGCAACAGCCGAGACGAGGCGAGGATCGATCGACTCGTCGTAATATTTAAGCGAGGAATCGCGACTAATTAAAAATATAAAACGGAAAAGGATACAACGCGTTTCTACCCACCCGGGTTCGTTCGGGCCGGGCAATCGAGCAGGGTTAATCGAATCGCAATTTCCGTCCGATCCAGCGTCCGCGGATTCGTCGATAATCGATTCCGTCGGGCCGGGACACTGATACACGTCCACCCATAAACCATTTTGTCTCGCGCGGAGGAAGCGCCAGGGAGGAGGGTAGGGGAGGGGGTTATCCAGAAACACGATTTCTCATCCCTCGCTTCTCAACGGGATGCTAACGAACCACCACCTCCGCCTCTTTTTTTTTTTTCTCCACGGCGTAACTCTCGGCGACAGGTCGATCGATCGGCCCGGCGGTCGTCGCGTCAAAGACGCCGATTCAGGGAAGAAAACCGACTCGGCGATATCGATGTCCCGATAGCACGGCTCGCTGATGCAAGACGTAGCGAGCGGGAGAGAGAGAGAGAGAGAGCGCCGCACGAGGAGGTGGAGGAGGTCAGAGGTCAAAGGCGGGAGGCATCGATCAAAGTTTTCGCGCGCGATTTATCCCGAAGGCACCGCCATAACGAGGCGGGTCGCCGCGCCATCAGCTTTTTCCATAACGTACCCGATCCGGGAACTCCCGCGCGCGTCCCGAAAACCGGTTTCCCTTCTCGCTCGTCGCCTCGTAGCATCTGGCACCGCAGCCGTCGTCTCCCCGCGTCTCCCCGAGACGTCCCCGGAACGATGACAACTCGAGCGAGAACTCGCTCTTGGGACCGATTAGCCTCCTCCGTCGATAGCTCGTCGGAAGCCCGACTTACGCGCTATTATAGCCTCGGATGAAAAAAAGAAGGAAGGAAAAAAACACACCAAGGCGTCACGCGAACGTCGGTCTCGCGGGAGCGCTTCGGGTAAAGCAGTGGCGATGAAATCATAGAGGCCGGTCGCGGGAGGCTTCCAAAAGGAAGACGTCCGCACCGGATGTTCCCCTCGAACGGACCGCGCGCGGCCCCGGAGGATGCGGAAGTCTCGCGTCTCTTCGCTGCTATTTGTGCAAGTGTGCGTGACGACCAGGGTTGTTTTTCCAGTTCCCCCGTTCCCTTGCCTCCTCCTCCGAGAGCCTCGGGGTCTCCTAATGCGTCGCACGTTCTTGCGTCCTTGCTAAATCGGCCGTTGCATCTCGCGATCTCTTTCTAATGTTGCGACAGCTTGCAACGAAGGCAAACTCGCCGGTTTGTTCTCTCTCTCTTTATTTTTTTTTTTTGCGGCCGAACGCGATCTCGCGTCACGATAGAATGGACCCGGGGATTCAACAACGGTATATTTCGCGACCGTGCTCGCCGCGCTCCGTATTAATGTTGTCCGCACGACGTGCGTTTGAAAACACGCGGCACGTATGTGACCGAATCCCGTCTCGTAACTCGCGACTTTCCTCCCGACGACTCTGCGTGTCTTCCGACGGATTCGAAATCAACTCTCGCCCCGGGGTTTTCATTAAATTAATTGCTACGAGCGGCGCCGACACCGCGGTGCCATTTCCGACTAACGGTTTTTTACAGACCGGCACTGATTACCGAGAGAGCCCCGAAACCACCGTCTCGCGCACGCTGCGTTTTAATTAATCGACGACGTCGGACGTTCCGAGATTCATCGTTATCGGGAGGACCGTCGTATCGCGCACGTTGAGAGTCACATCGAGCGTATATCGTAAAAAAAGAAGTGTGCAGTGATCGCAATCGTTACGATCTCCGTTTCAGGGAAGGGACGGCTCTATCCGGCCTACAGTCTGAGTGGCAGCGAGGGTGAGGATAATACCTCCAGTTTGCGTAGTCGCGTTGTCTATCCGCAAAACAACCACCAGACCAACCAGTCGCATCACAATCATTACAACTCCGGTCAACATAAGCAGCGCGCCTACCAACAGCAACAGCAGCAGCAACATCCCTTGTATCATATGCCCGGCAGTGGTGCCGGCCTCAGCGACACACCGACTTCGGGTAACGCATCCGACGAAACCCTCACCGACAGTGACCTTATCACTGTTGCTCGCGACTCCGCGCTGCTCGTCCATAACGGTGAGTACATCGGTAGTTTCGATGTAGTTTGCGCGCCCAGGAACCGCCGATAAAACCGTATCAATAAAAATACAGGCGAGAATGGATTTGAGAAAAGATCGACATTGCTATCCCCGTATCGTACGGAAGACCGATCGCAGCGAAGAGAGAAAAATATCAGAAACGGAAGGCGTGATGAAACTATTGACGGAGCCCTTACGAAAATATTTCCCGCCGTTTTTAGCCCGCGGAGAACGGCGAAATTCGAGTGAGCGAGCCTGTTTTTGGGGAGTAAGGGAAGTGCTTTTCCGTAATAACGAGTTACAGCGGATTACATACGAATATAGTATGAACGTAGTATTGTATGTACTATCGAGTATTTTTGAGTAGTAAACACGTGCTGTGTAAATTTGACGTGTATTTAAGTACATACATCTGAAACACAGCTAAAAACTTGTTTAACATTCACAAGCATTCACACTGCACATTTTGAAATAGCACGGGTAGGTGCACGACTCTTTAACGTGCTTATTTCTGTACTGAAATGAAGTGCCGAGTAAAACAGGAACATATTAATACGCTGTCCACTCGTCAATGAGAAAGCGAATATTGAAGATTGGCGGATCCCCTTAAAAAATACTCAAGCATATTCGCGCGTACTCGTCATGTGCCTTCGTTCGATAACGCGCCTGAGAGTGCAAAAAACGAGGATAAAACCGACCGAATAGGTTAAAAACGTGGCGAAACGAAGCGATATGAAGAGTAAAAATGGCGAGATACTTTCGTAAGCGACATCTAATATTCAAAGTGAAATGAAATTTTCGCGAGGAAGTTTTCAGCGAGTGAAAAAGAATCTCGCTCGTTGTTCAACATGTAACCGCCCGTCGACGGACAATTAACGGTTACCTCCGTCTCTCGAGAACCGTTTCCAACGCGCTAAGACTGAACGTTCGTATTTCTTCGAGCAGATATTTTTTCCCCTCAGAGATTACCGCCCACTTTTTTCGGCGACAGGGAAAGCCGAGAGAGACGGAGAATCGTTCGAGCTGGTAATCAGGAGGAAAGTATCGGGATTTGTTTCGCTACCTAAATAGCCGTTTTCCGCGTCTGTGGGACACTCGACGACGACGCCGGCGGCGATCGTAAAATCGAGAGGCGACGTAATTGAGAGACAACGCGCGAGCTACGCGCGGAGAGGCGCGCGCGCGATAATATATCGGGCTCGTCGCGTTAACCGAGCAAATCTTTCGAAGATAATCCGCGAGAAGACAGAACGGTAAAAGGACATGTGCGACAGAGTCGGTCATTCGCAATAACGCGAAATCGTTCCCCTACATTACTCAAACATGATGGATGGCCCTTGCGGCGATGAGGTGTGAGGCCACACACGGGGTTTGTCGTAGACGGGGGGTTATCGGCACGCCGGCTTGTCAGGGATGACGTATCGCTCCGAAGGTATACACCATATCTCGGGCCCGTCTAGCCCATCCTGCACCACCTGGAAACCGGCTAGCTCCGGCTAACTCCGTACTCAACGTAGCGGACACTTGCGCGTGAAAGGTATTTATCACTGTAGTCGTCGCCGGCGCAAGACGAGTAAATCAATTCATCGGCCAGCAGCCACCGGCGATATCGGCCGGATTGAAGGAAAAGGAAACAAGAGAGGGAAAGAAGGGGGAGGCAAGAAATGCGTTAGAACGATCACGAGGACTCTGCTCCCGGTGTTACCTAAACACGCGAGCTGCGGGAATATGGAAGGTTCCGCAAATGGATATCGCTATAATGGAGACGTATTCAGTATCGCCGGGGCGGCGGAGCGAGCCTGTGACGTAGCATCGAATCTCCGGATTCGTTTCCGGGGAGAAAAAATGCGGCCGGAATCTCCCGCCTTTTATTGGGCGTAATGCGAAACTCGTACGGCGGGAGCGAGCCGCTCTGATACACATCCCGGTGCTCCGCGATACTCCATTAAGATTTCAGCTGAATCATAATGACTACGGCGACTGAGCACCGCAGCGGGATGAAAAGGAAAAGCGGACTCTCGCGCGCGAGGATTTCAATCTCCAGGCATGACGACTCCGCGCGAGGCCATTCCCTCAACGTGACAACACGCTGCCGCCATCCATCATACGCGCGCGCTCGCTCTCCTATTCTTCCACGAGCAAATAATTCCTGGCCCCCGTGACAGACCGGGACACATCCTGGACGCATAATGCTCGAGGTCAATCCGGCTCTGGGCCGCGCATAAACGCGCAATTACGGGCTGCGCGGATTAGCATGACAGTGGAAATCATCGCGTCATCCGGGGGCCGTATTAGACGATTACATTACCGTTGCACAGTGCGCCACGAAGCGTCCCGGATTAATAACGGCGCCTTCGATCATACCAAGATGACGTTCCGAATTATATGAGAATATCCTTTATCCGGCGTTACCAGCGAAAAGTTGCCCTTCTCCTTCAACATCCCGTTGTAACGGCGAGAACGGCTGTTTTCCATTTAATAACGCAAGCATCGTCCTGTCTTTGTTACCGATCGGACAAAGACAAAATGATGCTTGTCTCGGCTAAATGAAATACGTCCAATCAGCGGCGCGACGTTCGACTCTAGTTTGTTCGCGACGGAATTTCCGGCGGAAATCGAATAAACGGGAGATACAACGATTATCGTTTACCGTGAAAACGCGCGATATAAAGCGCATTACATCGTTCCCTGATTAACCGTCGGCACACAATCGCCATTTTCATCGTCGAGGGCTGAATGAATTAGGATTTTCGCTCCGGTGTACGGGCGTGACGAATTTCCCGATTCCGCCGCGCGCGCGCGCGGAATCGCGAGCCACGTTAATGAGACGGAAGTAATCCCTCCCCTCCGGGTATTCATTCGTCCTGGCTGAAAGCCCTCCTGGGTCGGTCATAGTTCCGGCGCAGGAATGGATTTCGCCGCGAAATTCCGGTCGTGCACTCTAATCCACGTCGTCTCCTCCGACCTTCGATATTCACACGAAGGAAGAACTCCCCGCCGCTTTATCACGAACAAGCGCGCGCGTACACACACACACTGCGAAATTCCTCTTCGCGTATTATAAATTTCTCGGATAATTAATGTCCTCCCCCTCGCGCGCTACATGACTTTTTCCCAAGGAGCGATTGAAAATCTTTCCTCGCCGCTACCAAACTGCCGTGAGCATAAATAACCCTTCGAGCACGCGTAAACCAAAGGAGAGGGGGAGGAGGGGGGAACTTTCCGCAACTGGGGCGTTTAAACATATCCCCGTACTTGACACGCGAATTATCGATTCACGCGCATCCTTCTTGCGGCGAGTTGCGCCGTGCTGAAAGATAAAGTTTCGCAGTTTCATTAATTATTCAATTCGCATATCACACACACTCCCTCGCTCGGCGTACATTTTACGTACGCGTAATTTATCGCGTTTTTCACTATCGCGACCGAAGATACGGGACATTATCGTTCTGCCGGTAGTCTTGGCCGGCATATTTCACAAATATCTTCGCGCCATCGATAACGTTGGCGTGCGCGGGCGCGACGATTCATCAAATACTCTTTAGTAACGGCCGGGCCTTTGTCGCCCGGCTGGATAATCACGACTCGTTATGCCGAAAAACGCGAGATGACCGGTCACATCGACGTGCGGAAAAAAAAAATATAGGAAAACAGAAATCGCCCTTTGTTGCTCACGCAAAATATCGGATTTCGTTCGCATTAACGAGCGTCTATCGTCGCGAATCTTCTCCTAACGATCCGCGCTGTCAGCCGGCGAGTTAGTCGCTCGTTAACACTTCGTTTGATCCTACGACTGGCGACGTTTTATCGTCGTCTCGCGTGATAAGTGCGCGATTCACCCGAACAAGGACGAAGCGCTCGCTCTATACCTATCGCGACACCGTCTCGGCCCGACATTCGCGCGCTGACTGCATTTCCGCCCGGTAGACAGGCGCATAAATAAAAAATCAATACACCCTTTCGTTCACGCATTTTTTCCTGCTCCTTCCTACCCCTCCGTTCCTCTTTGTTTCTTCACGCGCCTTCGTCGCCTCCCTCATCTCTCTCTCTCTCTCTCTCTCGTCATCTCCGCGTCTCGAGACTCCTCTCTCCTTCGCGTTCTGTTTCGCGCCCAATTTGCGGCCCATCATCGCTACGGAAGAAGCAATTTCTAACTTAAATGAAACTCCCTCTTGCTCGCTTGCTCGCTCGCCTACCCTCGATCGACAGGAGACGCCGGTCTTGCGTTTCAGCGAGTAGGGTAGCGCGAACACAGAGCGCAGAGACGGAAGGGTGGAAGCTCTTCTCTCTATCGCAGCGAATACGTGCAACCCCCGCTCGCAGTAGAGCTACCAGTCGCTCTCTCACCGCTTACACGCAACTCCCAACGTTCCTGACAAGATTATGACGTGGACTCCGAGCACTCCGCAACTGCACGCAACTTGGTACGCCCTTACATTGGAATTGTCCATGCGATCGAATATCGCAAATGCCGTCCCTTCTCAACGGATGATCGTCGCAAATTTCGATGCGTACGTTCTGCTCGTTACATCAGAAATATAATCGAGAACTCTGCACGGAAAATGTCGTAGGATCTAATTAGGATCCCCAATCTAATCGGAATCTATGCCGTATATGAGAAGGTCCAGGAAAATATCAATACGGGTATCACTGTTGATAACAACAAGACTCAAGAATTCCCGAGCAGCGAGAACTCGCAGTCCAATTATTGCAAATTGTCCGCAAGCTCGGGAAATTTGGCGCAACGTAATGAAACGAGTGTAACGCCCTGAGGTGTGATTTCTTCCCCGCGGAAGACGGGAGAGTGTGCACCGTCGTCGGCGTAACGCGATCCTCTCGTCGATGATTTCCAACGGAGCGGCACATGCACAGCTGATAGCATTAACACGATGCGTGGATTATCCAGCGCTCGCCGAAGTACATTGTCTCGAAGAGTATCGCTAAACCGCTTACCGGCTGGATATTACGTCCCTGGCAAGATCATCGCGCAAACTTGGGAAACTGCAGCTGCGAGCATTTCACCTCGCGTCAAATCATCGCGCGGCGGGTGATTGGCCGGGACACGAGCGCCACATTCCCAACTTTTCTTTTCCCGCGGTGGCACACGGCTACTTGCCACTGGTAAGGAGCTAGTTAACAGTTTGTAACGTCCCTGTCACTATCACGAGGCAAAAGCGGAACTCCCACTAACTAGCTTCTTGCGACGCCGCTATCGCGATTATCGTTTGTCGTCCATTCAGCGTATCTATTACATCGCCGTAAGCAATCCTCCGGATCAGCCGTGGAGATTGTTTCGAGCTGGTTCCGGCCAACTTCCGCGGGAACGTCGAGTTCGCGGCGCGAAATTCGATTCCGCAACCGCCCGGAGTGGCCTCCCCCCCGTTTCTCCTCGCATAATGCACAATGCGACGATAATTCGTACACGAGCGTACGTTTCCGCGATTTTTCTCCCGCTTACGGGGGACAGATTTACGGACGCGCGACCTAAGGTTTGTTCGCTATATATATGCTAAAACGCTCGCATCCTCCGTTTTTTCCCCGCCGATAGACGCGTAATCGGCCGCTCGGGAAGGCAATAATAAAGCGCGACTGACAAAGAAGGTTAGCGGACGCTATCGCGTGGCTGGAAGTTCGCGAGATTGCCTGGCAACCTCTCGATATGGCCTGAGTAGAAGCGCGGCGAACTTCGATAATCTTCTCCGCAGCGGCCCAGGACCCAAGTTTGGCAATCAATGCGAAGTAACAGTTTAATTAAATACGGGTAACCCTTCACCGACTCCACGCGCGCCCAGCCGCGCTTACCCGAAGACAGACTAATCTTGGCCGCGTCGTCTCAAGGGCTCCAGCTGGATTCAGTAAACGTGAGTGTTCGACGGACTCGTAAATCCGATCGTCGTCGACTCCGCTGACGCGCCGCATCCTCTTGGTCCCTTCATCCGTCGTTCCTCAGATCGCGACACGTCGAACTTTGCGGTCGGTAAACAGCAATCGAACGAATACGATTTCGAGCGAGATCGAAGCGTCGTCGCACCGGCTCGAGAGACTATTTCTCGCGTCTCGCGTCGGAATTTACGCCGGATTGCCGTAGATCCGGGTTACCGATAAGTCGGAATAAATTGCCATTCTCGAACTTATCAGTCTCGAATGTGCCGAATTTGTTCGTTAAACGATCGGTCGATCTTAGTTCGCTTTCTACGTAAATAACATACGTCTTAATCAAATGCGAACACGTGTCCTGGTTGTGGAGCGCCCGTTAAAATTATACCGTAAAAATACACACCGTAAACAGACGATCCCCCCGGGGGATAACGAAGTTTCATGTGTTTGCCGCGAAATATGTGATTCGATATAAAACGAATTCTCACACAGCAATCATAAATTACGAATTAATATATATATATATGTGAGTGTGTATGTGCGCATTCCACACATTCGCGTGCTCTCGCCACGATATACTCGTGAATTATGAAGGTCAGGTTTTAACACGCGGGAGCTTCAAGCTTCTGGACCTCTTAACATGTTGAGCGGATCGCGAGGAGATTCTACATCGGTGACAAAGTACCCTTACGTGAGTCCATTACCGAAAGCACCTTTCATGCTAGAATGTTATTGATACGTAGACGTAAGTTCGCGTGTGCGCGCGCGAGGACAGGCAGCCCTTCCTTCGAGAGCATTATGCCCCTGCAGCGAACGCGCCTCATCCATTTTCCATTCTCTTCTCCGTTTTTCCTCCCGACTGCCATGTTTATGTATGTCCGGCTGATTATCGAAAGCGAGGATACGCGGCTGTTTGTCTCCTATACCCGCCGGCGACAGTGGCGAAGTATCGGAGTACGAGGGTCACGCTCGAATACCCGCTTTCCTCGTGCTTCAACCTTCTTCTTCTTCTCTTCTCCTTTCTCTCTTTCTCCACCGGCGTCTTCTTATCTCCTTCCTCATGCTCGCAGCTTTGCCACGCACGACTCCCCGATGCCACGAGCAAGTTTTATACCCGGGGGACGTCTCCTACGCCTGATTTCGATTCTCGAAACTTCGCCTCTTCGCGGTCTTCCGTCCGGTCGCACCCTCCTCCCTTCCGGAACCCTTGAGGGGTCTCTTTTTCGCTTGTTTACGAATTACCAGACTCATTTCCATCCTTCTGTGGTCCCGCGCTCGTTCGGGATCTCGTCCCGGCATATCGGGAGAAAATGAACTCTTCCCCGTGCGCGTCCCGAAGTAAATGGATCGCCACGAGGCGGAAGATCCGCGAAGCATACGGGCAATAAAGGCTCTGTCATCGTGTCTTTATAGCACTCTTTGCCGCGGTTCGCACAAGGGAGCCATTACCGCTGCTACTTGAGCGAGTTCCTGACCTTTTGCCACAGACCATGCGTACATTCGCCACCGTATATGCACATTAGAAGGCGTTATACGTCGCGGGGAGGTACGAAATACTTTTAAAAGAGTACTTTTCGAGGAGTGAGCGAGCAACATTCAACGTGATTTTCGTCGCAGCGATTTAACGGAGCCTTCACTATCATCATTTCGTTACGCTCGCGTCGCATAATTGCGACAATGCGCGGAAATTGCACTTACAGTACCCGCATTATCCGCGATCTGTCAACGGGAGTGATGCCGTAACCGGCCGTAACAGATTACGCCGATCGACGGACGCGTTATTAACTCGAATATTACTCGCGACACGGCGCGGCACACCCGCTGAAAAGGATTCGCTCAACAAGGTGTACACGTACATACAGCAGCGGTATATTCTCGATAACTGCCGTGGACTTTAGTCGGACGGGCGCTTGTCCTTCGCTCGTTGCACACAGCGTACATTTCAACCGAGAATGGAACGACCCGAATCCCTTTTAATACCGAACTANGGGGAAATGTTTTTCCCCCCCCCCCCCCCCCCCCCCTCTTCTCCAATGGTCCGAGAGAAGCTCCTTCGTGCCGTTATCAAACCCAAGTTCAACCTATGCATTATTCAGAGAAAGAGTGGACGTGAAATTGGTGGTGGGGCGGAAAAAAGGGGGCCTATTAGCATGGAACCAAATTACTTTTCCGCGATAACGTCATTCGTATAATTTGCCACCACGGATGGTGGAAGCTTTTTCGAGTACGTCTCTCTCTCTCTCTCTCTCTCCTTCTCCCTTTCTTTCTCAGTTCGCCCCGACAACGTAATATCCAGAATCGAGCCCATCTGCGATTTTTCTGATAAGGATTTCTCGTTTGACCGAGATTCCCAACGGGAGGGAATCAAAACGAGGTAACCGGGCGACAACCTTAGCGCGCGTCGCTACCGAACCAAGGTTTCCAGTCCACTTTCTGTCGCGTCATTGTAACGGAAAAAATAGAAACCTACACGTTGGACGCGTACGTACGTGCGTACATTCGAGATGAATGCATGTGATACATTCTCCCGCGCTCCAAAGGCCGTACGGCTGAAACTTTCGGACGAGTCATGCGACCGTGCGTCAGCAACGCGATCCTTACACCACCGCGGTGCAAACCGAACTTTGTTGCGTATAATACCGCAGGAAATTTCTTATTCGTACATTCGAGCTTTCGTGATCCTCGCACTTAAACGGGAACTGCTGAGTCAATCGATGAAGACCCGACCTCGTTATTTGAACATTGTTAAGAACTGGAGCGCACGTGATGCGGTGCCGAAGAAGGCTGGCTCGTTACGCATCTATCCGTCGCTCTTCGCGAATCACGAGATGTCGCGAGTACTCGGCAAACGATCGCCCAGATACGCGATGATCGCAAACACAGAGAAGGTCAAAGTAAGGTTGCGGAAAGACACACATAGAGGTACGGGAGCCATGAAAAAACGAACGCGACCGAGAGTACGCGCGCGGAGAGAATCAGTGAGCGGACGACGCGGACGAGTCGGAATGTAATTTGTTGTCTGCGGAAGACAATCGAGGGATCGGTCGCGGCAGGACGCGAGTCCTTCCTAGGTTCCGGACGCGAATCACCCGGCTGGACCGTCGGTAGTCCGGCGGAAGTACGAGGGCTTTCTCTCTCTCTCTCTCTTTCTCTTTCTCTCTTTTCCTCTTTCGGCGCGCCATGGTCGGCGAAACAATTTCAATCATTCCCGACGTAGCTTTGATGTTTTATGAGGATACCTACGCATTCCTCCGGTCGGTGGAGTCGCAATTCGTTTGGGAAAACCGAACTCTTTTTCCCCCTCGCGCGTCCCCTCCTCCCTTAGGTTACTCCACCTCGTCTTTCTCTCTGGCGTCTTAACCTCGCACGTGGTTTTCTTCCTGTCTCGACTCGTTGGAGGGTCGCGGAAATACGGAGGACCCGTGAGCGGAAGGAATCGAAACACGGGCGTCAGTTCGGTCTGACCGTGTCTCGGACATGGAGCAAATAATGGAGGTCCGATGTCTCTCTGTCTTCGACGACCTAATGCCGCCGTCGAGCTCTCGCCTGCCTTCGCTGACCATGCAAATATTTATTTACTAGTTCTCGTTTGAGGGCAAATAATCCCGCGACGCGCCTTCCCGAGGAGGAGATCTTCGGATTCACGTGCGAGTCTGCCCTGCCGGTTATTCGCGCGAATCTATTCTCATTGTTACAATTATTATTATATTTATTACATATATATTTAGGCAAGGCGGTGAAACCAGCTGTGCACAGCTGACGCACTTTTGATCGCTCTCAACATTGCGTCTTCGACACTTTTGAAGTGTACATATCGTAATCGTTAGCGTCCAATAAAGGCAATGTTATTATTATAAGCAAGCCGAATTTTGAGAGTTATAATTAACGTAACGTCCCGACTAGAAATTGTCATCAGGTATACTTGAGATAAAACGTCATGGAGATTCGATAATCTGATGAGGACATTATGACGAATGCTGACTAAGGTCCTGATTACCGCGCAGCGTTCTATGGCTTCTTAGAATCTGATAGTATAGCCTTAGATGGACCCGACAGCCAGTTAAAGTCAACTCAGCTGGAGCATGAAGTAAATTTCTAGCCGGGATTGTGCATACTCGAGCCTCGATGAACGGCAGGATACGTGTCGCAGGGGATTAACTTGCGAGCCGGCGTGTCAGCGTCGCGAATCTTTCCAGAGACACGAGGACAACATTTAAGAATTGTTCGAATGTATCGGCTGAAGAGAATTCGGGACACGTCTCCCAGCAGATACCTTGACTTTCTTGCTATCTCTTTGAAAGCTCGGCGTATCTGGAATCGGGGGAGGGTACACTTCGAGAATGAAAGTACTTCCTCGCGCGCGCGTTCGAAAAGTACACCTGATATCACGCGACGCGATGCGGGGTAAATCCGAAATCTAATCGCTCCGCCCGAAGATTCCGGGCACGTGCGCGGTATATGCAGTGGGTACCAGTCGAACCTGAAAAGCCGATGTAGCCGAGTGAGAGAGCGCGAGAGAAAAAAGCAGATCGGGAAACTAGCGGAGGGCAAAAGGGATGGGAGGGCGGTCGATTCCGAGAGGAGAGGATATCGATGCCGATTACAACGGTCGGGACGCGCGGCAAAATCATCCCGGATAAAACGGCCGCGGCGTTTATTACACCGGCCGACGCGGAAAGTTCCATTTACATACCGTGCGAGAAAGCGGCGGAGACGCCGGGGAAAAAAAGATGCGGACGCGATTTGCAAGACGCCGACCGGGGAGGGGGGAACGACGGTAATAGAGGAAGCGGAGGGTGGAAGGGTAACGGCGGCGACGGAGGAGTAAAAGTCGGGAAGGCAAATTTCGTTATTGCCTGCGACAGCCCCGAGGCACGCGGTTACCTGGAGCGCCGTTAAAATAAGAAATTGAGTGATAAAAAAAAATGGACAATAATAAGTATGTAAATAATGAAAAGCAACGCGCGCGCGCTTTAAGCTTGTAATTCGTATTCGTGCTCGATACTGCAACTCGTAATCGATCGCATAAACACGAAAAGCATTTCCGTGTACGCGGACATTTTACTTCTGCAAAAAATTACGGTCGCGGAAAAATCGAGTACTTATCGGGGAACACGGGACAAAGCGGCGACCGAACGAATCTATCGTATGCGCATAATGGATTAGCCCGCGTTAATTGACGGAAACTAAAGTCGCGTCGTAATTATACGAATATATAATTTCGCCGTTCGCGCTGAACGATGTGGTCGCCGCTTCCTCGTAGCTACGCATCCAGCTTCGAGGGTATCGAAATTTCACGTGCAACGAATAACAAGGTAGACCGGACAATTTGCCGAGTTTGCATGATTAATCATTTCGCATCAATTTGCGAAACTAAAGTTGCGTGCCGTAATTATCCGAATATTATTTCGCCCTCCGGTGAGAAGGGCGCTCCGTTTTCTTGCGACCGCGCCGCGTGCACGTCTACGCCTATACGGGAAGCACGTACACAACCCACGTACTCCTATTCCGACCTGGCTCTCGTGAAATTAAACCGAGAGTCCATCGTTTCCCTCTTTCGGTCGGGTCGCTGCTATAAACTTCGCCAGTTTATTGTTTCCCGCGCGCAGAGTAATTTAAAGGACCCACCCGACGGGCGGGCTCAGGGCCGCAGCCAGACAGGGTCGACGATCATCCCTCGAACCTCGTTCATAATTGATTCTCGCACAAACGCACGAACTTCACGGGAAGAAAAATTGTTATATTGTGATACATCGAGACGGAAGGGATGAATCGAAAGTTCGCACTCGCGATCATCGGTCACCGAAATCCATCGTAACTTTAATTTAAGATGAGGCTATTCTATAATATTTTTCGGGCGATATTTAACATATAATTTGTCTTCATCGCGGAAAAAGGTAAATAATGAAACAGGTTTCGCTCGTGTTGTGCAGTTACGATTGTTCAAACCGGGCTCTTAAATGATCAATATTGAATGAAATTAATTAAACTCCAGCCGAAGAACTCGAGATTAAAATTTTTGTCGAAGCGAGAGGGCCGCTTGAAACTAATTGTGAAATAACTTTCTGTTATTTAATCGCTCTCCCGCGGAGCAATTTACGAAAACCCCTGATTCGTCAAAGTTACATAATGTATCCAAGTGAAGAAGACATTCCTGAGGAGATTAATTAATTCAAGGCAGCCCATTCTCCCCCTCCCCTTCTGAAGCGATCTGTATGCAATGTCAGAGAACAACACTCGAAACGATTAAACGTATATATTAGGCGAAGCGAGGTAGAAGGCCCATTTATCCAGTCTCCGCGTACTCTGTACCCCGCTGGGTACACGCCCGATTACTTTAATTCAGGGCCTGCGACGGCGATAATTCATTGCGAGATACGGGGCAGGCGATTTCGGCCTTAGGCCGGTTATTTGTAACCAAGGACCATCTTTCACCGGCGCTTCGCGCCGAGACACCCCTTCCCTGTTCAATCTTTTCGCCGTCTATTCATCCGCACGACGCCCACACGCATTCAGGCACTACCCTTCGAGATCGCTATCGTGTTTCGAGGGACGATTTGGGAGAGCGTGCACGCGGTCTCGCGTAGAAGCAACGATCGGGCCGCCGAAAAAACGCGAACGGATGCGCACGGCGAAACGTACGGCGATTGATTCTCTCCTCGTAGCCCGAGGTCGACGGTGCGCGGTCGGGAAAAGAATTCAAGTGTATCGCGAGGTATAAGTACATTGCGAGCCGAGAACAACGCGAGTGTGTCTAACTCGGACTGCCGAGGAGCCTCGATCAGCCCTGGGGATCCTCGTGTTAAACAACTAAGTAATAAATTAAAGCGCATGGGTGGCCTGGCGGTATCGGGCAACGTTCGGCTCTCCCACACGGTGTTTTATGTAACCGACCTTTGCACTTCCATTGTGGGGGATTCTCCCGTGAGCAAGCTGATGATGTAAAAGACAACTTTATTGCGGGCAAAAATGATTTAGCTCGGGGCTACGACGGGTATTCAAATCACGCTCTGGAGCTCTCTCGGCTTATCCATCTGTAACGAAATATTAATAGACCGTACCGCGATTTCCTCGGCCTCGCCTCACTTTCGCGAGGCAAGAATAACGTGCCACTTCCTAAAAGTTATTCTTCTTGAATCTTGTAATCCGTCTCCGCGATTGCTGTAACCGCAGTGTAAATCCCTTCCGCTCGCAAAACTCGAGCGTTTCTAAAGGGAAATTTTCGATAATTTTTCTATTTTTGAAGTTAAAAATAATTAAATTAATAAGCAATTAAATTAAATTAAATTTAAAAAAATGGGAAACTAATACTTGAGAAATAATAATTGAACATACAAAGCATTGGTAACTGCGGTATCTACACGGAAAAAAATCAATATCAAAATTCGAGATTCATATTCTCATATATAAGCAAGAATATATAATCTTATGTGAAGATAAAACTTGCTAATTCGAAGAAATTCCGTATAGTTTCACTAAAAATATTTCTGTTACTCAAAAATAACTTTCATGAATGAGAGGAAAAAATATTGAATAAAAAGAACGATATCTTCAAACTACAATTGTATCAGTTTGAAGATATCGTTCCTTTCATCCAATAGTTTTCCTCTCAATTCATGAAAATTATTATTTTTAATAACAAGAATATATTTTCAGTGCAAATATATAACATTTCTTCACGTAAGCAAGTTTTATTTTCACTTAAATAAGATTACATATTCTTGCTTGTATACGAGAATATGAGTTGATTGATACTAATTTTCTTCCGTGTAATGAGCAAAAACGGTAAACGCTCGGAAATAATGAACGCAGCGTTAACCCTCAGCGCAGCCTCGCTTGGATCTCACGGGAACGCCGGGGTACTCGTGTTTGATACACGATCAATTACGAGAACGCCGAGATATCGGCGCGGTTGCGCGGACGAACCCTCGCGGGAAAGACGAAGGAATAGAAAGCGGTCGGGTGAAAGGCAAGAAGGAGTACAACAACGCGGGGAAGGACTTTGGTAGGAGGTGGGGAGGAAGAACGAGAGTAAGGGGGATCCATAGATCTCGCGGCGGGCTAATTAAACGTCGGGATACCACCCTATTAGCGGCAGCACCTTGGGGGGTGCACGCAACTTCGGTCTCGCCCCCATACGGCGAGCCGGACTAGCTCCCGGCAATTATAAATCGTCAATTAATAAGCGTAACTCCTACCCACCTACCGCCGTGGCGTCCCGTCGGAAACTTCGAGTCGCACTGCGGGCGGGGGTGTAAATCACCACGAGAGGGCCCGGCTACTTTCTACGAGGCCTTTCCACGTAGTAGCCAAGGTCACGACGTTTTCACGACGCGGCGCCGTCGACAAAGAGGCCTTGACGAAGGTCGAACTTGCTCTCCCTCGGCGAAGGCGAAAGTTTATTAAGGTGGAAGCTGTTGCGGAATTAAAGGCACGGGAAGGGACCGCCGCGGGGGGAGATACACGAGGCGAGAGAACGGCGCCGCGGTGAAAGAATCAGTGATTATCGCCGCGCTCGTATTCGCGACACTCCCGAAAACGATTATGGCCACGCGAGAGAGAGAGAGAGAGAGAGAGAGAGAGAAAGAGAGATGGTAATAAAAGGTAAAGTTTTCAAATACGCCGCGCCGAGCGGACTTTTAGCGAGCTCCCCATTAGCGAGCTCACGAGACCATCTGGTATAACTTTCCACCACGCACGAAGGATCGTTAATCAGTGATAAGCGAATCAACGAGTAACGAGTATAAACAGCAATTACATACGCGTTAGCAGAAATGCGATTAATAAGCTGTAATAATAATAATAATAATAACCCGTGCAAGATACATTATCTGCCTTTGGAGCGCCGAAAATTAAACCGGTTTTAATTAAAAACCAGTTCGCCGAAATTACACCGGGTTTCAATCTCCGATCTATATGGACCTTATGATTAAAGGTAGGTCGAGAGTGGTGTGCGGAGGAGCCCCACAAAGAAACGTTGCGAGGTAACGGGAAGGAGGTCGGTAATATTGGAGATTTTAAATTATGTGCGAACGGCAGAAATCACGCGATTAGTGTAGCGCGCGTGGAAACGGCGACGGAGCCCGCGGATTTAGCGTC